CCCTTTTCTCTGCTTGCTGGTAAGTTGTTTGTTTGTTTTTTTTTTTTGTTTTTGTTTTTTGTTTTTCTAGCAGGCCTGCCAAAATTGTGGAGCCTGCTGTTTCTTGTGGAAATTGTCTGATTTTTGCATTTTCCGTGAAAAATGTACAATCATGATTTCCATAGGTCCCTGCTTATAAAGTGAGACCTCTGTCATGCCAGCTAGTTTATATCTCTTTGAAATGAAGTGTGAAGCAATCACATATCTAAAATAGCAAATTACACTGCTGCATGTAGCTCATCCTGATCAGTGCATTAGTGCAGGCTTCCTTTAGTTGGAAACATTTATTGTTCTCTCTGAATGTCTTTTTTACATTAGTAAGCAAGAGAACAACTGTGAAAAGGTTAATATAACTGTGGCATTTGGTCCATTGACTCCATAAAATTTCAGTAAATTGTATTGGTATTGTTGGGAATTAGCTGCTGGATCCTCTGTGTTTTATAACCCTTTGCAGATAAAAAGGCTAGGGACAGACATTACACATAAATGAGTTTAAGTGATCAGAAACTGGTTTAAACCTGTAACAGAACAGATATTCAATGCATATAAACCAGTCTGAAAATGGTTGAAACCGATTTGAGATAAACCTGGTTGAATCTAGTATCAGACTTAAATGATTGGGTTCAAACCTGTTTATGCAATGTCTGTCCCAGACCCCTTGCTGGTTTAAGTTAAATCAGACTCCCCCAGCACCCCGGCATGCTCTCTGGGCTGGTCGGGGCTCTCTGCTCCACAGCAGAGCTGGCCCCTCCCCTCTGCTCCCTGGCTGGAGCTTGGCAGAGACTTGCAGGGTCTGCTGGCTTCCCTGTGTCCCCCTTTCTCTCCTCTCTCACCACTTGCTGCTAAAGCAGAGATCCCTTCCTCCTCTCTGCCACAGCATGGACCATAGCCAGTATGTGGTATGCTAGTTAATGCCAAGAGGTACCTCTGTGTGTGCCTCTCCAGTTTCACTGGGATAGGCAGACAGGACAGTGACCACCTAGGGCTTCTTGAGCTAATCAACAGGTCAGCTGGTAAACTGTTTAAGAAGTTTGAAATAATGTGGAAAGAGGCTATTGTTTTGCTAATTTGGTGATAAAAACTGTTATCAGTTTGCTGGAGACAGTATGAGGAAGCAGGGAGGAAAATTGAAAAGCTCCGTATCATTAACAGACGCATGCACTGCACCCCCCCCCCCCCTTTGCC